TTATAAATTATCAAGGGCTCATGAGGGAGGGGGGAACGGGGAGGGAGGGGAAAAATGAGGACCTAATGCCGGGGGCTTAAGTGGAGAGGAAATGTATTGAGAATGATGAGGGCAATGAATATACAGATGCGCTTTACACAATTGATGTGTGTATGGATTGTGATAAGAGTTGTATGAGCCCCTAATAAAACGATTAAAAAAAACTAACACCTGGCAGGCCAGGTAAATGTCCTCGGTGGGCCGCATGTGGCCTGCAGGCGGGCCGTAGTTTGAGGACCCCTGCTACACATTTGTTAACCAGAACTAGCTGAGAACTCCCTACTTTGTACTGTGCAAGGTCAACTTTCCCAAACCTCAGTACTGAATAGGTTTCAGAGAATAACGGACTATCCAGAACTCAGCCCACATTCAATCTACCACGTCAAGTCTCTCTCCCCAATGTCTCAACCGGACCCACCTGGGCCCAGTGGCTTCAGAGCAGGCCCACCTCATTTTGCCCACTGGATCTTCCTTGATTTCTCCACCTTATTTCATCACTAACTCCTACCTCATCCTAAAGTTATAGCCATCTTCCTACAATGCAAATCAGAAAATGCAATCTCACAACTCACAGAGCGTCCTACACTGCTAAGCACTGTGCAAAAAAATTAGGAACCAACAATTCAATGCTGCTGCATAATGACTCAATAGGACAGGGTAGAACTGCCCCTGTGGGTTTCCAAGACTGCTACCTTTACGGGAGTGGAAAGTCTAGTCTTTCTCCCGAGGAGAAGCTTCGTAGTTAGCAAGCTGCCCAGCTCTAACCACTCCATCACCAGGACTCCTTCAAACACTGTGAAGGGACTTCAAATCTCAAGTGGGTCTGTATCGTGATAAACATAGTTACGCTAAGTGCCCCCTGCCGAACTCTCTATCGCAACTTGGGCGTGTGGTAGTGACAAACGTTAACACTTAAAGCAGCACACGGTGCAAAAGAACTTTCTGCACTGAGGGCAATGTTCTGTATCAGCACTGCCCTACAGCGCAGTCTCCCATGGGACTAGTTAACAAAGGATGGCTGGCCCAACTAGGAAACCGAATTCGGAATTAGCTCACTTCTAATTAATTAAACATTAAATAGACAGATGTGACTTGTAACTAACACCCTGGATAGCAGAGACCAGCAAGGCCCAGGTGGGTGACTAAGACAGTAAGTCATCCCGATGTCAATGCAGATTCCTGCCCAGCAAGGAGATGCTGCCTCTTGGCAACAAACTGAGGGGCAGTGACCTGCATGACCTAAGGGTTCACAATTTTCAAGGAAAGCCAGAAACTTAGATCTTCTGTGAAATGTACCAATTTTTAAATGTTGGCACCTCGGTCAAACATTCACAGACCTTCATTCCGTTGCTGTTCTTCGTTTTGTTTTGTTTTGTTTTGTTTTGTTTGGGGCGGGGAAGCCTCTCAATTTTACAAGCCTCTCCTTCATTCATTGCATACTTAACAAGTGCTTACTATATGGCAGACACCATTCTGGGAGAGAGAGAAACAGCAGAGCAAAACACTCAGCAATCCTTGCTCACGTCACACAAATAATAACGATACTATGAGACTGTATTTGCCCCCAAATCAACAAATCTAAAGGAAGATTCACTCAAACTGTTGAGTGTGGCTATTCTTCATAGCAGGGTGGTGGTGGTGGTGGTGAGGGAATTATGATTCCTATCTTACAGGTTTCCTTGCACTTGAAATCTTTATAGGCTATGTTATTTTCGTTAAGCCCCCAAAGCAATGAAGGCAATTATTTTATGTGTCATTTCTATTGGTTTTCAAAACAAACAAAACTCCTTCCTGTGGAAGACCAGACCCTTCATTATTCAGACTCTCACTACACCTCTGGCCACTGTGCGCAGCCATTCCTGAACTCCACAGCACAGATAAGCTTATATCCCCAGAAAAGAAGAGCTCGCCTCTCTCTCCCTATGCACCTCTGCCTGCCTCACTGGGCAAGCAAACTCCAGCCCATCTCTCATCACTTGTAGGGTGGGTGGGGGTGGGGAGAGACTGTCTACTGACATAGGAGTTAGTATAAGCAAAGCCCCCAATGCAGCTCGAATGCGAGGATAAGTAAAAGCATCATCGTTTGTATCATTGACAATCAAGTGTCATTTTAGAACAGCGCCAGTGTCTGCTATTTTGTAATCCTTGCTTTATCCTTAAGAAAGGGGGAGGCAATCTATTTATACCTTTTCAAAGAGCCAATCCTGACACTACACAGCATAAGAGAAAAGAGTGAGGCTGACAAGGTTCCTTCAAAGAACTCTGGCAGGTCAACAAACACAGCTGGCAGACTAAATCAATGAGGTGAGAAAATTAAACAATTTGGATTGTGAGCCTGGAAGAACATTCCAGATCCTTAATTCTATAAGTGCCGCCTCTGAAAGAGTCCAAGCAGTACTCATGGGCACTCACAGCTCAAGTCTGGAAGGCAGTTTTAACAACTCTGCAGAAAATGACTATTTCTTCTCTGGTTTCTATGGAAACAGCTGTCAGATTGGCAAAAATAGGACATGTGCTTTAAAATAATCATTCAAGCAAAGTACACACATGATGGAAGGCTTTTAAAAATAATAATAATAAATTGGAAGGCTGGGTTCTTAAAGCTTCCAAATGTCAGCCTGCACCCCTTCACCACGACAGTGGCTGATGGCTCCGAGCCGCCATCCTTTTAAAGAGGGTTGCTAAAAGCCACCAATCGCCACCAACCCCCGAAACCCAAATGAGGGATCTTTCAGGTCCCTGGTTTGAAATTTCTAGCGGAGGGCGGCACTGCACAGTCAAGCTGTCGCCCCGTCTTGCATCAGCTGGCTACACGATTGCCACGGTTTTGGTTTTTTACGTGGGTTTTGCAGGCGAGTTTATTAAGTTGCTAACATCCCCTCAGAAACGGTTGACCAGGAAATGGCCCCTTTCCTCTGCCCAGTTGAGACAGGAGCACTCTTTCCTCTACCTTCACCGAGAGGAGCTACGAGAGGCTGACCCCGAAGCCCTGAGCGCCCAGGCTCGAGGTCCCCCTTGGCAGGGGGGCTTGTGTGAGGGCGGAAGGAAGGCCGTCTTCCCGGAAAACGGCGCAACAGAAACTTCCCATCGGCAATGCCATCCGGCAATGCCGGGAACTGGGTTCCAGCAATCCTCCCTGGCGGGGATCGACTAGGGGAGCGAAGGCTTCGGGGTCACCGGGTCACCGGGTTCTGGTACGACCCCGCGCGCCCCGCCCCCACCGCAGCCACGCCGCCGGGCCCGGCTCCCCGCCCCCACCCTCCAGTTCCTCCAGTTCGCCCCCACCCCACGCCCGCACGGCACCCTCCCCGGGGCCCGACCCGACTCGGAAAGGAGGGCAAAAGCGACCACTGGAGACAGACCCTAGCTGTGGCCAAAGCGAAGACTCCAGGTGCCGACCGGCCCGTGCGCAAGCGCAAGCATTTCCCAAAGCCCCGCCCCTCATTTCCTGCCCTCTGTCCGGGCCGAGGCGCCCTTCGCTCCGCCCACCACGGGCCGGTGCTCCGCCCACCCCTAGCCGTTTTCTCCTTGGGCCTCGGGCCTTGCAAGGACTGTGGCGCTCTGGCTCTCTCTTGTGGCCAAAGCAAGGAGGTGACCTTGGGTAGGGCCGCTTGTTGCTAAACCAAAACCCAAAACTCACCGTCAGGGAGTGGATTCCTATTTACGATGTTGATGATGCTTGTGGGGTTCCTTCGAGTCAGTTTTGACTCATGGCCATCCTATGTACAACAGAAGGAAACACTTCCGATTCCTACACCATCCTCACAATTGTGTGTGAGACCATTGTTGCAACCACTGTGTTAAAATGAATTCTTCTCCTGGAGGGTCCCTTTTCCCCTGACTCTCTACCAAGAACGATGTCTTTTTCCAGGGACAGGTCTCTCCTGATAACATGTCCAAAGTATCCGAGACATAGTCCCGTCATCCTAGCTTCTCAGTATTCTGGCTGTACTTTCTCCAAGAGAGATCTGTCACCCACCGACCACAACATCTTGCTTGTACAAACCACCTCCACCACTCCCTAGAGAACAAGCCCTCTTCTCTGTTCTTCTGATCTACCAGTTGTTTCACTAACTGGGGCCTCTAAGCTCCGGGCTTCAAATCACCTCCTGGCCTCTATGACTTTAAGCTTCTATCATCCCCAGGGCTATTATAAAGACCAGATCTATGACCACCTTTCTTCGCACCATGCCTGACTCTCACCTATACATTCTTAGTGGCCTTAACAATAGAATCCACTGCTTGGTCTTCTGACTTCACATAATAAATTCATTCTGTTAGAACTCTCTCTCTCTTGTGGGAGAGATACACCTCGGTCCTTGGCTTCGTGAGATAAAGAATTCATGCTGAAGCCTGGTGTGTGATCCAAGTGAGTTTATAGAGGATAGAAGCGGCACAAGCGCATGGGACAGCGGCTCAGCCACTGCTGGGGATGGCAGCCTGGCCACCTTGCCCTGTGTGTTGGAGCCCCTGGGAGAGAGTGAGCCCAGAGCAAAACCTCTGGCTTTTCAAGGGCCCGTTGGGAGGCGTGGTCGACAATACTGGTCGACCTCATTGGCTGAATCAAATTCACCTGGCTTAGATGTGCCAATCCAGGTGTAACACTCACCTGGGTGTACCATCCCTTCCTGGCTGGGAGCTCGAACCTAATAATTCCACCAAAACCACCTCCCTCTGCCTCCCCTTTCTTTCCTCTACCATCTGCCAAGGAAACTCCAGCCTTTATTCAGTATTGGTCAGCATTTCCTCTAAAATCCTAAATGCCACCTGAGCAAGAAGTCTGACACATCTCCTTAGGTCCTTGCCAAGGTTCCGAGTCCCAAAAATGTACTCCCAAGTCAACAAACGTTCCTTTTTCCAACCTTATGTCTCTGCCCCTTTGATCAAGCACCCTCAACAATCTTGTCCCCAAGAGTCCTCTTTGGGCTCCTCGTGGGACATGGAAGGTCATTCTTGCAGTTCCTGCATGTGCAACCTCTTCTTCCCTGAAGGGACCCATTGCCCCCTCAGCCAGGTGCTGCTGGGATATAACCCTTGTTATCTTCCTCACAGGAGCTCTGCTGGCAAAATGGTTAAGAGCTCAGTTACTAACTGCAGAGTTGGAGGTTCAAACCCACTAACTACTTCATGGAAGAAAGATGCTGGCAGTCTGCTCCTGAAAAGATTTGCATCCCTACTATTGTTTAAAAACAAAGTCACACTAATTAACTTTTAAACTTGTACCCAAAAGTTAATTTTCGGGGTGGGAAGGGCAGGAAGGTAAAAGGGAGCTGAAATCAAGGAGTTCAAGAAGGAAAAGAATGTTTTGAAGAGGATTGTGGTACCAATTGTACAAAACTACTTGATGTGATTGTACTATGGAATGAGAAGATATCTGCATTAGCTTCAAATAAAATGGTTTAAAGAAAAAAGATTTACATCCCTAACAACCATAAGGAGCTGTTATACTTTTCAATAGGGTCATTATGAGTCAGACTCTGTTAGGTAACCAGATAGGGGATTATTCCTCTCCATGCCCAGCGGCCCCCTTACAGGAAGTTGGAAGCTATTCAAGGCTAGAGGGCATGTTCCAAATTCTGGTTCGAGACAGGAAGGAGCAGTACACCTAGGTGTGCGGTACACCTGGATTAGTCCCATCTTGGCCAGGTGGGCTATCTTGGCCAGATGGGCTTAATTCAGACAATGGGATCAACCAGCACCACCAACCACGCCTCCCCGCAGAGGACCCTGAAAAGCCAGAAACTTTGAGACCGCGGCTCTCTGTTCCAGCCGCTCCTACACAGTTCAGCAAGGCTGCGGTCCACCCAGCTGTGCCGAGATCTCTTTTCCAGATCTCTTTTCCAGCTGCTCCTCCACCAGGAGGCAGGTTTCTCTGGCCTCAGTTTCCACACGTGGGTGTGAAGTGCCCTGAGGGCACCTCTGTAACACCTGAAACTTATAAAGCCCACTTGGATCACAAACCAGGCTTCGGAGTGAATTTTTTCTCCTTGGAAGGCATGGGCCATGGGATTTCTCAGCCTGGGAAACCTAACAAATCCACCAAAGGGCAATTAGTTTGGTTTGGGTATTTTCTTAGGAGAGAATTGATGGAGAAATCAGCTTCTGACAGGACACTGATGCCTGGTGTTGAGAAGGCTGTGAGGAAGTCGCAGCTTCTCCCGAAGAGGAATTGGCCTGTGTGCAAGCTCTGAGACCTGCCGAATCCAGACGCTCAGGGTTCCCACGCACCTATCCCACGGGGAACTGTGGGTGGCCCACAGGCAGTCCTTGGAAAAAGAAGGCATTGCTGGGTGGCTTACAATCAGGAAGGTTGTATGTCAGGGGTGTTCTATCACCACACTTACTCAATCTGTTTGCTGAGCAGATAATCCAAGACGCTAGACTGTACGGAGAAGCATGCAGCAAGACCATGAATGATCTGTGATATGCAAATGACACCCTTGCTTGCTGAAAGCAAAGAAGACTTGACTGCAAAACAAAAAGCGAAGGGCGTGGCCTTCAGTGGAGATGACAGCTGACTATAAAGAGAAGCTCCTGGGCTAAGAAGTAACAGCACGATCAATGGAGAAATGACTGATGTTGTCAAAGATTTCATTTGACTTGTATCCAAAAAGCAATGCCCATGGGAGCAGCAGTCAAGGAATCATGCTGTGGAGGACATTGGGAAAACATACCGCAGAGGAGCTCTAGGAAATGTTAGCGGAAACCAGTCACCTTCGGGACTAGGGGGTGGCTGACCCGAGCCCCAGTGTTTTCCATCACCTGGTAGGCAGGTGAAAGCTGGACGTGAGTCGGGAGACCACAGGGGAATGCCTACCTTTGCAGTGTGGTGCTGGGGGAGAACAGTGACATGACCGGAGATGGCCAAAGGAATGAACAGAGCTGTTTGGGAGGCAATATGGCCAACATGCTCCTTAGAAAGGAGGTTGGAGACACTTCTTGCATATCTTGAATATAATCAGGAGGGACCAGTCCCTGCAGGAGGACAGCATGTTCACGAAAGTAGAAGGTTGGTGCAAAAGAGGAAGAGCATCAACAAGACGGATTGGCACATTGGCTGTAACACTGAACTCAAATACGGCAAGTGCCCAGCTAGCAAGAAGTCCCCATCCTGGGTGGTGTGCACATGTGAACCACCTTTGACATATATAACTGGCCAATCGTATACAATTTTGTTGGGGATGGCAGTGGGGGGAACCTGCGAAAATGTCCCACTGGAGAGAAAAGGCATATCAGGGATGATCACCCAGGTATTTGAACGGATGTGGGAGGAGCGATACCTGAAAAAATAGCAATGTGGTTGACTGATTGTTGCAAAATTGTATTGACACCTTACGTGGTCCATTGAGGAAAGGAGGACCGTTAACGAATGGTTGTAAGCTGCGTGTGAGTCCCAGGTTTCTTTGGTCGATGATGTCGAGGCTGTGATCTCTGGCAGTGGATGCGTGGGGCAGCCGACGGGCAGACCCAGGGTGTTAGAGTTCAAACACAGGCTCTTAAGCCATTTGGGTGAGTCGATTCCTGCTAACCCGGTGTGTGTCAGAGAAGGACTCAGATGGTTGTCTTCCTTTAAATTTTGTTTTGTTGCCAATGAAAAAAAAACACGTAAAACATACACAAAGTCAATGGTTCCTACAGGTACGGCTTAGTGTCCTTGTACAACCTTCCTCCCGATGGGCAATCCTTCCTACTCTCCTTTCCAGATCGTCCCTCCTGCCTTCAGAAGAATACACTGCTACCTTGGGGTTCTTTTTCCCCTAACAGTTTTATTGGCGTTTCATCCACATGTCAGACAATTCAATCATTCGGTCTATAAAGATGAGTTGTACAATCATCACCACAATCAATTCTAGAACATTTTCTTCTTCCTGGTACTCACTGCTATTCATGTAATTCTTTTTAATTGTGGCAAAAAATGTACACAACAAAACACGCCTGAAGGTTTCTCTCTAATCGCTAGAGTTGCTGTTTTCAGTTGGCTCCCATGTAGTTAGCTGTTGTTGTTGTTGTTGTTGTTGTTGTTGTCATCAAGTCAGCTTCCACTCAGATCAAGAGAATGAAATACCAACCTATAAACCCACCTACAGTGGGTTGAATAGCGCACTCCAAAATTGTGTTCACCTGGCACCTCAGAAGGGTGAAAGACAAGACTTTCTACTCTCATAAAATAGTTACAGTCTTGGAAACTCACAGGTCAGGTCTACTGTGTCCTACAGAGGTTGCTTTGAGTCTGCACTGGCTCCATGGCAGTGGGTTTGAGTGGCGTCAGAAGTAGACTCTGAAGATTTAATTATGGTGAAGACCTTAAGATGGCATCGTCTCTGGTGAGGTGAACGCTTAAATTCAATGACTGGAGTCCCTCTAAAACAGGGGCACACAGAGACACATGTGAAGACAGGACAGAGTGAA